ATAGGCAGGAGCCCCCCAAACCACCTTCACCCAAAAGAACCGTCAATGTTATCAACGGAGGAGAAGAAATCAATGGTGTGACGTATACCGCAGCTAATAAGATTTCCAAAGTAACGATTACCCACGGGAAGCGGTTGTGGCATGTTTTAGAAGAAGAAAATATTACATTCGATGATAGGGATGCGGATGGCTTATTAACTCCACATAACGATGCACTGGTAATATCTTTACTTATACATGACACTAATGTGAAACGAGTTTTGATTGATCCAGGAAGTTCCGTGAATATTATTTTGTTACGAGTACTACACGAGATGCAAGCAGAGGATAAATTGGTACCAAAAACGCATACTTTGTCAGGATTTGACAATTCCAGTGTTGTGACGAAAGGAGAAGTGATGCTTACTACATTCGCAGAAGGCGTTGTCAAAGATACAAAGTTTCAAGTAGTGGAGATGGAAATGGCTTACAACATAATTCTTGGGGGGCCATGGATCCACGATATGGATGTTGTTCCATCAACCTTGCATCAAGTCATTAAATTTCCAGCGCCATGGGGAATATGTCAAATCCGTGGAGACCAACAGACATCCAGGAGCATCAATTCCGTGGCAGGTTCAAGTGCGAGAAATGAAGAAAAATAACAATTACAGAATCCAGTTGAGGAAATCATAACATCAACCTCAACTGAACAAGGGCGAACAGATGTGGATTCAAGGCCCGATTCCATTCAAGAACCAGAATAAAATGAATACATCAAAACAATGATAGAAGAGCTGGAGGCTGTAGTATTGTTTATACACTGGCCAGACAGAAAAGTTTACATAAGAGCCAATCTCAGCCCGGATATGAAGCGTAAGTTGATTGAATTTTTAAAAGCTAACGCAGATTGTTTTGCTTGGTCCCATTCTGATATGCCAGGTATACCACCGGAGGTAATGACTCACAAGTTAAATGAAGACCCATCTCATCCACCTATCAAACAAAAGAAAAGAAAGCAAGGAACTTTCAAAAATCAGGTGATCCAAGATGAGGTGCAAAAATTATTAAAGAATGAATCTATTCGCGAGTTAAAGTATCCTAATTGGTTAGCCAACACCGTTGTGGTACCTAAAAAGAACGGTAAATAGCGAGTTTGTGTAGACTATACAGATCTTAACAAAGCCTGTCCTAAAGATTCGTTCCCATTACCTCATATAGATCAACTAATTGATGCTACTGCAGGGCATGAGTTGTTAAGTTTTTTAGATGCATACTCAGGATACAACCAAATCAAGATGGATCCCGCAGATGAAGAAAAAACTTCGTTTATAACAGACAAGGGGACTTACTGTTACAAAGTAATGCCTTTTGGTCTTAAAAATGAAGGTGCAACGTACCAAAGACTGGTAACCAAAATGTTCCAGGAACATTTGGGAAAAACTATGGAAGTCTATATAGATGATATGCTCGTTAAAACTCAGCATTTAGGAGATCATATATCGCATCTGTCTGAAACGTTTAAAATTCTGCGAAAATTTAATATGAAATTGAATCCTAAAAAATGTGCATTCAGTGTTGCATCAGGTAAGTTTTTAGGTTTTCTTGTTTCTAATCGTAGTATTGAAGTAAATCCCGCGCAGATTAAGGCCATAGAAGAAATTCCTGACATACTTACAAGTAAAAAAGAAGTGCAGAGGCTAACGGGAAGAATTGCAGCCTTGGGGAGATTCATTTCTAAATCATCGGAAAAGTGTTTAAATTCTTTTCAGCTCTTAAAAAGCAAGATCATTTTGAATGGAACGAGGAATGTCAACAGGCACTCAAAAATTTGAAGACATATTTATCAAATCCGCCGTTGCTCGCAAAACCAAAGGATGGTGGGAAATTACTCATTTATCTTGCTGTTTCAGAAGTAGCTGTAAGTGTTGTTTTAGTCCGTGAGGACCAAGGTAAGCAATCTCCGATCTATTATGTCAGCAAATCTTTATTAGATGCGGAGACGCGGTATCCTCAACTAGAAAAGCTTGCACTTGCATTAGTCATGGCGTCTAGAAAATTAAGACCTTATTTTCAATGTCATCCTATTGCTGTAGTAACTGCTTATCCATTACGCAGTATTTTACATAAGCATGAGTTATCGGGAAGGTTAGCTAAATGGGCTATAGAGTTAAGCGAATATGATATCACATACCAACCTAGAACTGCTATAAAATCTCAAGTATTAGCTGATTTCGTGGCTGATTTTAGCCAAGGGATGCAATTAGAAGCAGATAAAGAATTACAGCTGTTCAATGGAGCTAACCCAGGAACTTGGACTTTATTCACTGATGGTTCATCTAATGTAAAAGGTGCAGGTTTAGGGATTGTTTTGGTACCACCTACGGGTGAAACCATTCGACAAGCTATTAAATGCCATTCTATAACTAATAATGAAGCAGAGTATGAAGCTATAGTTGCAGGTTTAGAACTGGCACGAGAACTCGGCATTAATCAAATTATAATCAAAAGCGATTCGCAGCTCGTGGTTAACCAGATGCTGGGGACTTATACAGCCAGGGAAGCACGAATGCAACAATATTTAGAGAAGGTACGGGAGCTGGTAAAGCAATTCTAGACTTGGAAAGTTATGCAAATACCAAGGGATAAAAATGTTGAAGCGGACGCCCTAGCTAATCTCGCGTCTGCGGCAGATGTGGCGAGCGATGCAAATGCTTCGGTTATTCATTTATTTCATTCAGTTCTTGACCCTGATAAGAATGAGGTAAATTTTAATAACTTAACTTGGGATTAGAGAAACGAGATTGTTGCTTTTTTGCAGTATGGTACCGTCCTGATGATAGAAAAAAGCTCATGCGCTTCGAAAAAAGGCTACTCGGTACTGCTTAAAGCAAGGCAATCTATATCGTAAAATGTTCGGTGGTCCCTTAGCCAGATGCCTCGGANATCTCACGAACTACAGGAATCAAAACTTCTGTAATCTGAGTGGGAAAGATATCAGCACGATCTAAACCAGAGACTTGATTCCTGAGAGATTCTCTGTCATGATAAAGAGATAGTTCCGAAGGAACTATCTCCTCTACTGTAGGCTCACGAAGAGGTTCAGAAGGTTCTTTACCTCTTGAAGAAGATCTTTGTGAAAGTGAACCCCTAGTTCTAGAAGAAGGACCAGAACTAGGAGAAGGAACAGAAGAGCTGCGCGCAGATGAAGATCCTAAATTACGGAGCCTACCTCCTCTTCTGCTCCTACTGGGAACGTTAGGGAAGTTATCAACTATGGAGACTTTACTAGGGTTAGGGTTTGACGAAGACATGATGATACGAGGAAGAAGCAAACAAAGATTTGAGAAATTAAATGTTCAGAAGACTTTATGTGGTAAAGACAAAGAAAGAAGTTATATTTATACTAAGAAGCAACCGTCAAAGGAAAAGGTGTAATGATGGAAGGGTCATAATGACAACTGTCACTTCGTATACAGTGAAATCATTAAAAAGCCTTAAAAAGTGTTGTAGAATTGCAGAACCAATGAAAATATAACACGTGTCAAGAACATTAATTAGAAGTGACAATTGGAGAGTCGATTCTGTCATAGCATTAATGGTGACAAAAATTCTTGCTTTAAAAGAAATTCCACTTCCCAAATATTCAATCGATGAATAAATGGCAAGTGGAGGGACTATCTATATTGGAAAAAATTGAGTTTACATATAAAGATGACATGTCATGACACGTGGATCGATCGAGGAATTATGATTAGCAAAGAGGTACGAGTTGCAACAGGCACGAGCAGAGGCATGAAAAGAGGCACGAGCAGCTATGCGGAAGATTCAGCGCCCGCACCTATTTAAGTCCAAGAACTAAAGAGGATGAACCTGACAGTACAAAGGAGTACAGATACAGTACTTAATGAGCTTTTAATATTAAAAACGTTAGAGAATCTGTATTAAATATAATGATTATGTAACGTAGCATTTAATACCTTTAAAATTGCCCATAATAGCCTTATTATGACAAAGGCAAAACGCATATCTCTCAAATAGCTATAAAAGGGACATAACTGATCAATGGTAAGGACACGAAACACTATCTGAATATACTTTGGTTTGCTTGTTTCTCTCTTGATTATATTCTTGCTATCCAAATTGCTTTCTTTTATACATTCTTTCGATTATCAGTAACCCACGTTCTTCTAAATTATAAGCTTTAATCGAAATTCCATTTTTTTGGTTAAACAAGGAGTTTAAGAAAAAAATGAAAACTTTTGGAATTTGTGATCCTAAACAAGTCAAAAAGGGCCCCAGAGTATTTGTGTGATTGTAAAAGTTTCTCATTAAGGGTATAATGTAAGTTTAAGTTAAATTATTATCAAATTTAGAAAGGGTTCATTCTTTTTAGAACGAATAAAAAAAGAAATAGATTTATATAAATTGAAACAGATGGACTAGTAGAGCGAGTAGTCGCAATTTTAAATTGAAACAGATGGACTAGTAGAGCGAGTAGTCGCAATTTTAATGTATTAGTTTCCTTTCAAAAGGTCTACCTAAAGGAGCGGGCCGGTAAGGGGCATTAAATAGTCAAATATGACATACGCATACGCCACCAACATGAAATTTATACCAATAGTCTTTCATCAAAATAAGTAAAGGACAGAAAAGGGCATTTCAGAAATCTCGACTTTTTTTTTTTAATTGTGGTTTCCGGGCATTGTTTTGCGAACCCGACTAGTTGTATTCATCGGGACCCGCTGTTTCAATGCGTGCACCACAATTAGTTTCACGGACCCTAAAGACGCGGCCGATTTGTAATACCTCCAATAGCCCTGCGGGACTCGAACTGACGACCTGAAGGACTTTGTCCTTAAGCGTTTACCAGTTGAGCTGCCCCTCAGGTTAGAAATCTCGACTTCAAAAAGGAAACTTTTTTACCCACCAAAACATACCAAAAAATGGCACAATATAATACTTAACCATAGTTAATACGTTAGTATATGTGTTAGGTGGGTTGACCAGTCTGGGTTGGTGGGCGTTGCCTGTTTGCCCGTCCCCTTTCTCTCTTCTTTCCTTCATTCATCACTCCCTTTCAGCTCCTCCATATATTGCTCTCCCCTCTCATTTTAATTTCCTCAGCAAGTCTCTCCAAACCTAACCAAATTCACCAGCCAAAAAACTCTCTGTTCTAAACCAAAAGCTTTTACTTTGTCATTCTTTTTTCCCTCGTTTTCATCGCCTTCTCTCCAGTTTTGTCGCCGGTTGAATCATCAGAGTTAATCTCATCAACTGGGTAATTAACGCTTGCCCAGTTGAGCAAAATTCACATAGAGTTCAAATTTTCCACTTTCAGTTTGAATTCTTGATTACATAGAAAAAATGGAGTCTACATCAGAGAAACTTTCTCCTTTTGATTTTATGGCGGCGATCTTTAAAGGTGGAAAGATATTCGATCAACTGAACTCATCATCAGATTCTGGCGACTCAAGTTCTCCTGCTTCGTTGGCAGCTCTGCTGATGGAGAACAAAGATTTGATGATGATATTGACAACCTCGGTTGCTGTCTTGATCGGATGTGCAGTTGTCTTGATGTGGCGGCGCTCCTCAACTTCTGCTAAGAAGGTGGTAGAGCCGCCCAAGTTGGTGGTTCCTAAGTCGGTTATTGAACCTGAAGAAATTGATGATGGCAAGAAGAAAGTTACCATCTTTTTTGGTACCCAGACTGGTACTGCTGAAGGCTTTGCTAAGGTTTGTCATTAACTAAAATCTTTACAGATTTAAAAGCTGTTCCATGATTATTTATTGGAACACTTATATATTCTCTCCATCCTAATTTAAACACCTGGACATTTTGAAAGGTGTGATCTAAGACAAGTCATATTCATTTGGGTGGCGATAAGTAAATTAGGAAGTTTAAATAATCATTTCGAAATATAGTCATTCTTACCAAATTGGGAAATTTGGATTATTATAGACATTTACATTTCATTTGCAATCCTGCTGTTGGAGGCCACAATTATCTGATAGTGTAAAAAACAATAGAAGTTAAAGTTATAAATGTTATTTGTGGATTTGGTGGTCATGATTTTTGAGTTGTAAAATCTGTCAAAAGGAGTAATCATATTCCATAAAGTGAAAGTGTAAAAAGTTTCCGACTTTTAAACATGTGAATTGACAAAAAGTGGTGTACGAGCATATGAGGAAGGGTAATTTTGTCATCTTAGCAGATGATTTGCAAATAAAGGTGACTTTTGTGGTGTTGTTGATCGTCGTGAAGACTACTAAGTGATTTTAATGGATTTGTACAGGCACTTGCCGAGGAAGCCAAGGCCAGATATGATAAGGCTACCTTTAAAGTGATTGATATGGTGAGTTCTTTTTTCTGATATGTTTTCTCTGTAAGTGTGATATATAAAGTGAAGCTATTGATTATGAGAATAATGATTCACTGTTTCTGATTGCTTAAATATCAATTCTAGGATGATTATGCGGCTGATGATGATGACTATGAAGAGAAATTGAAGAAAGAAACATTGGCATTCTTTTTCTTGGCCACGTACGTTGGAAATTTTCGAATTTGAATAATTACATGCGCAATGATCTATTTGTATTTGCTATATATGAAAACTTGCATATATGCAAATGATGTTACTAACTTGGTTAATGGTTGGTTGGTTATAGATATGGAGATGGTGAGCCAACTGATAATGCTGCCAGATTCTATAAATGGTTTGTAGAGGTAAATGTAATAGATTGATCAAGTAATCTATCATTTTGTGCGTTTATGTTCGTTGCATCTCAGCTTAATTGTTGTACTGTTATTTTCTGAAGGGAAAAGAGAGGGGTGACTACTTTAAAAATCTTCAGTATGGAGTATTTGGCCTTGGTAACAGACAATACGAGCATTTCAACAAGGTCTGAGAATAATTATATTGTTCTTGCACTGATTCCTGTTCCTATATTCCCAAAATACATTGGGGAAAAAACTAATATGTCAGCTTTTTGCTAACATGTTCTTCTTTGTTCTCTTTATTGGTTGACAGATTGCAAAAGTGGTGGATGACCTTCTTGCTGAGCAAGGTAGCATTCTCTTTTGATTACGAATTTTTGTTATGAATATGAAATATTTGATAACTGTTCTCTAGATGGATATCATTCACATGACGCTGTGCTGTATAATTAGAACAGTAACTTTGAGTCGTTTAGTTTCAGCTTAGTGTTAAATCACTTGCAGTAGAGCATGCTATTCACTCAATCTTAGTTTGAGTATTTTAATTGTAGAAGGGCTGTTTATTAAAATAGCATGGTTAATAGAAGGACCTCTTTAAGTTCAGAAATTGAAGTGTGGTGTAGAGGAAACCTATCGCATTGGGTTCTAGAATAATAGCTTGGTTCTCCTTTCTTACATGTGTTTGTATCAACTACAGGTGGCCAGAGGCTTGTTCCTGTGGGTCTTGGAGATGATGACCAATGCATTGAAGATGATTTTGCTGCATGGTATGTTACAATAACTTATGCTACTATGAAAGTAGTTCCCTTTTTGTATTCTCAATATTTGTATGCTCATACCAAAAGCCTAAATTATGTGAATGCTTTAGGCGTGAATTAGTGTGGCCTGAATTGGATAAGTTTCTTCTGGATGGGGATGATGCAACTGCTGCAACTCCATATACCGCTGCAGTTTTGGAATATAGGGTTGTTATCCATGAAAAGCCTGACAACGACTTGAGTAACACAAATGGTCATGCAAATGGACATGCGGTCATTGATGCTCAACATCCCTGCATGTAAGAAGCTAACATCTCGCTCTTCCTACTTTCAACATCTTTGGATTTCAAATTCTGTATTATTCTCTCTTCAGTTCTAATCTTGCCTCTATGTACCTCTGTGTCTGCAGAGCTAATGTTGCTGTGAAGAAGGAGCTTCATACTCCTGCTTCTGATCGTTCTTGCACTCATCTAGAGTTTGACATTTCTGGAACTGGAGTTGTGTAAGTCATCTGTTAAGTCATTCAACATTTGATGCTTTTTTTATTCTTCGCTCAAGAACTCTCTCTCTCTCTCTCTCTCTCTCTATATATATATATATATATATATATATATATATATATATATAAAAGTATATATAATACACTTAGTGAATATAATACACTATACTATCTCTCTCTCTCTCTCTCTCTCTCTCTCTCTCTCTATATATATATATATATATATATATATATATATATATATATATATATTGCATGTGGTTATTTGAAGCCAAGTGATAGTGCTGTCATTGAAATTGGTTGTGGTCATGTTCTCTAAAATAGTTCTTGTGTTTCTCAGTTATGAAACTGGTGATCATGTCGGTGTGTACTGTGAAAATTTGATTGAGACCGTAGAGGAAGCTGAAAGGTTACTAAACATATCACCCGACACTTTCTTTTCCATTCACACTGATAAAGAAGATGGCACACCACTGGGCGGAAGCTCATTGACGTCTCCCTTCCCTCCTTGCACTTTAAGAACAGCATTGACTCGGTATGCTGATCTTTTGAGTTCTCCTAAAAAGGTAACTTGTCTTCTGATCTTGAATTTCCTTGTCTTCTTCTGTGGGCTATGAAGTACTCATGCTTAATTGCATATCTTGCAGTCTGCTTTACTTGCTTTAGCGGCATGTGCTTCTGATCCAAATGAAGCTGATCGATTGAGAAATCTTGCATCACCGGCTGGAAAGGTATGGACTTGTTGCATTGTACTTTGACTTAGTAGAGCTTAGATTCATTATTCTCATGTCTCTGTGTAACTTACTTCTTCAGGAAGAATATGCTCAGTGGATAGTTGCAAGTCAGAGAAGCCTTCTTGAAGTCATGGCTGAATTTCCTTCAGCCAAGCCTTCACTTGGGGTTTTCTTTGCTTCTGTTGCTCCTCGCCTACAACCGAGATTCTACTCTATCTCATCATCTCCTAGGTTAGTAACATTTTGCAGTTCTTTCAAATTTTGAAAGTAAAATGTTGGAGGGCTTGTTCAATATATCTTGGAAGGGCACAATGTAGGATGGGAATGACATGAATTAACCATAAAGGCTAAACTTTTAACATTTCCTTATCAAAAAAGAATGGCTAACCTTTTAACATTAGTATCCAATAATGGGCAACAAAAATGAGGATGTAAGACATTGTTTTAGAGATTTTCGTTGGAGAATTATGTTCGTATTTTCTTGGAGGTAGGTTTTCCTTTCTTCGTTGAACGTAGTACGAGGTACTTTCGGCAATGTCAGACATACTGTTGCCTGACTATAACACACCCTCCTGATGTTTTTTCTTCCATTTTCTGTTATTTTTGTACTACCTTCTGGAAATGAAAGATTGCTTCTACTTCCTTCCGTCTATTTGATTTGACAATTCAGGGAACATAACCTTATGATCTACATTTACTTGCAGGATGGCGCCATCTAGAATTCATGTTACTTGTGCACTGGTTTATGACAAAATGCCATCTGGACGAGTTCATAAGGGTGTCTGCTCAACATGGATGAAGGTATTTACTAAATGAAGTTTGAACTTTTCTGACACATTCAAATAAATTACAAGGACCCACTTGACTGGTTTTACCATTGTGCATTTAGCCAGACCGAGACTTTTGTCTTCTTGCCACTTTTAGCTTAATTTATTAGGAGTTACTAACTAGACTATTCAGTGATCCATTCAGTTCTTTTGAAATTTCTTAGACTGTTTTATGTTAAAGGAATGTAGCTTTTGTTCTCATTCTATTTTCTTTTGGTTCCTCTTTCAGAATGCTGTTCCTCTAGAAGAAAGCCTCTCCTGCAGTACAGCACCTATTTTTGTTCGGCAATCAAACTTCAAACTGCCAGCTGATAACAAGGTTCCAATCATAATGATCGGCCCTGGTACTGGGTTGGCACCATTCAGAGGTTTCCTCCAGGTTAGACTCAAACCATCAGAGACCGATCTTAGTGTGAGTCCTTGAAATGCAAAGCATTTGACCCTTCTGTTATCTTTTCAGGAAAGATTAGCTTTTAAGAAAGAAGGAGCTGAGCTTGGTCCTGCAGTGTTATTTTTTGGATGCAGGAACCGCCAAATGGTTAGTTTTTAAACTGGTTATGGATATCAGCGCAATTTCACCCACATAAGCACAGATGTTTGCTACTATAATTTATGTCTCTGCACTACATCCATTCAACTCATCTGTTCGTATCTACAGGACTACATCTATCAAGAAGAGTTGGACAATTTCCTTGAGGCCGGTGCACTTTCTGAGCTGGTAGTTGCTTTCTCACGTGAAGGACCTAACAAAGAATACGTGCAACATAAAATGTCAGAGAAGGTATGCAGCTCATTCACCCTTTTGGTACTGGTGCAAATAGATCTTATCTTATGCCAATGATTGTTTTGAGATATGTCACCTAACTATTTTCTTGTGTCTAGGCTGCAGATATCTGGAACATGATTTCTCAGGGAGGATACGTATATGTCTGCGGTGATGCAAAAGGCATGGCTAGGGACGTTCATCGGACTCTTCACACTATTGCCCAGGATCAGGTAAAAATTCTCAATAACGTAGTATTATTTTCTGGCTGTGGTCTTTATTCTGAGACGTGAATGGGCTGTATGTTCGGCTACCTATCCACCTCCTTTCCTTATTTAATTCCAATAGTCATTTGTCATTTCTGTTGGAGGGTTTTTGATTTCTTGAAATATCTCAGGGGTCACTTGACAGCTCCAAGGCTGAGGGCTTGGTGAAGAACTTGCAAATGACTGGAAGATATCTGCGTGATGTGTGGTGATCATCTCTATATTATATTATTCGTGCCAATTGTGATTAGAGAAATATATAGAAAGGCTACGTGCAAAGAACAATCAGCCTTTCAACAGGGAAAAGAAGTGTACGAACTGTCGTCACAGGTTTTACGATTGTATGATTCTTTTTTAACTTTTGGATGAAGAATTTTTTGGTTCATGTAATTTATATACAAGAATATAAGGCAAATAATTACGTTAGTATTAAGTTTAGGCAATGTATATGGAGAGCTTGTAATCTCCCTATTGAACCAGCAAAATGGTTCAGACAACATTGTTATATGCTGTTGATTAATACTTTGGTTTAAGACCATCTCGTTTTATACAAGGTTCAACTCTTAGTCATCAGCAATCTTAAATTACGTATGAACATCTGAAGAAGAAAAGTAAAACTTACGTGCCTTATGGATTACATTAATGGGCAAGCTTATTTCCCATTTCATACGAAAACTACTACAAAAAAACGTGAATCGTCTCTATTTTGTATTAATTGGTTTGTTGTGTTATACAAGGAGTCATTTTCTCAGAGGAGCAGTGTACCTGGGGAGAAGATAAAAGAATAAAAAAAGTAAAAAACTCAATATATAAATGATTTTCATTTTCAAATGTGGAACCAAAATAAAATCAAAATATTCTACTGCCATATACTAGTATGGAGTAATTTTTTTCCTCTTGAGGATTAAAGATTAAAATAATTGACTTTATTATAAATACATAGATTTGGAGACAAAAAAGTCTTGTATTAGCAGGATGCATGTGGAGGCCGAGTTGGCAAAGATTGGCATGTGCATCACTACGCTCAAGAGTCGTGTTTTTCATGTAACTAATTAACTAAATAAGTTAAATATGATAGTACAAACCGAACATATATATGAAAGCAGTAAAAATTTATATACAAGATGCATATTTTGTGTTCATTTAAAAGATGCAAGTCGGCCTAAAGTGTGTAAGCAGTTAATTAAATTATTTAAATTTATCCGTAAGCTTTTTTTTTAATTCCATAGTGTGAATTTGGGAGCAATTCATTGCTTTTCCAGAATGGAGTTAAATTGTTTACTATAGAATTATATATTAAAGAAGAGATTTCTACTATATCGCTTATTATATGGGGGACAAAGAAGAAAGATGATGAAAACCAAAATGAACATCGAGTACGAAATTAGCTCATCACACTTGGATAATTTGCCAAACCATATTAAAGACACTTTTCGATCGATCCGTGGTCTTCTGACCAGTCCGATGAACTTTTCTTACTTTTTCTGTTAATTACGTGAAAAATAATATTGAAATATCTACAAATTTAATTTATTTACAGAAAGAGTTATTTATTTAGTTGCAGTATGCATGTTGCCAGCGAGTTGGCAAAAAGCGTGGTTTGTGTATCCCCACGTGACTTATCAGATACATCGCCATCTAATTTGTACAGAAATGAATGAGTAATTGTTTCTCGGATCTAAATACTTTTAGATTCTGTAAAGTATATACACAGATACGTAGGCTATGATTTTCACCGCACTTTGAAACTAACAACCCCACATAAAGAAGAAAGTCTCAAATGGTTTATGACCACATAAAAAGGAAAAAGCTCAATTAGTTACTCCCTCCGGTCCAAAATAAGTGACTTTTTGGCCTTTTTTTTGTGATCCAAAATAAGTGATTTTTTCAGTTTTTAAGAATTAATTAGTTATTTTTTTCCTACATTATCCTTGAAGTAAATGGTATTGGAATATGTGTTAGGAGTGTTTATGTGAGATAGTAAAGGTTAATATGGTCAATTCCATTGCTAATTAATGCTAAAAGGTGGATTTCTTAATTTATGTGAAAACATCCAAAAAATCACTTATTTTGGACCGGATGGAGTAATTACTAGTACTCTACTAGGTAGAGGGTAGGTGAGATACAAATAAATGGAAGGTTAGGTAAGAGAGGACTGGTTGCTGGTAGACATCCAACTATATGTGAATTGGACACTTTCATCATTACATAAATAATGCTGAAAATAATCAATACTCATTATTTAAGTACATTCACTTTTTTAAATACTTATTTGTAAAATTTTACTAGTGCTAGGTTTAGAATTATTTTATTGATTTTTGATCTCTTCAGACATTACCGTGGAAAGGGCAGTTTTACTCTCGAAAATCAAGGTGGCATTTAGCTAGTATTTGAATATAGATTTGTTGAAACTTAAAAAGTGTTTTTGAAATTGTGTTGAAAAATAATTTTTAAAAGTTGAAGTTGTGTTTGCACATACATGTGAAGAAAAAGTTAAATTTTTGTGAATACAAAAAAAGGGAGAATTACACATAAGTACAACTCACACACATACATTGCAATTAGGTGGTCTATATTCAACTTTGCAAAGTAACGTTGTAGCCCAAAAATAATAGACTAAGATTCAACATCCAACTCCAAATAGGTTCTGAAAATCACTATTCAATTTAAAAAGAAAATGTTCAAGCTTCTAATCCAATATTGAATCAGTAATTGTGACTCAAATATTAGTTTAACAAATCAAATTTATTTGGGTGGTGAGAATTAGATTTTTAAGGTAATCCACCATTGTTGAACAAGCTTAAATACACAGGTTTAAATTTCGAATTCGATTTTTTGAGAAATTTAGAGTGAGTATTGTTTAGACTTGTTAGAAATACTATAAGAAGGTTGTATACAAAATTTGAAGTCATTTAATGGAGATTTGGACTAGTTTTGAACAAGAATTGTTACTGAAAATCGTGAAAAAATTCGTTTGCAGACGCTTGTATAAAGGTGTATAAAAGTGTATAAGAGGTGTTTATACACCCATATACACAATTATACAACATTATATACTATTATACAAAAACTCACCTCGTCTTTATCCTTGAGCCTCTTCTGAAATCTAACTCAAATGTAGCTCAAATCTACTGCAAATCACTTGATATTTAAGTTTTGAACTCCTTTTGATATTTTCAATTAATTTGAACAAAACCCAATCCAAGTAACTAACAAGCTCTAAAGATCCAAATCTCTTCTTTAACTCAAAGATTAAAGAAGAGAAATTAAAAAACTAAATCGTGAAGAGTCTCAAACGCCATGAGGTTGGCAGAACAAAAATATTCTTAGCTTTGCAGTAAGTTTTTCTTGTCGTAGCATCAAATGAAATGGAGAATTTGACCAACTAAATTTAACTCCATAGCTTTTAGAAGCAGTGGTTGCAAGAAAACAGATTTTGAAACAGTGATTGTGTATACGGTCAAAATCGAGGAGCCCGATTTCGAAGTCTTAAATTGGGTTATGAGTCCGAGTCCGGGCGGCTCGAAGTGGAGGTAGGATCCGGCCAAGGAACACACACCTCGAGGAAGCAGCGAGAATTTCTCAAGGACACGTGGACCAGGGCATAAATTATAGGATAAGATTTGTACTGAATAGTACAAGTCCGTACTAGGTCGTTATACAGCTGTACCAATAGAATTTTTTATTATAATTGGAAATGTACCAAATTAGGATTTTCCCCTCCTATATAAAGGGGGACCCAATCATTTGTAAGGGACACATTATTCACTGCAATAGAATATTTCACTCTGCTTTTCTTGTTTAACGTGCTCAACAATTGTTCTTCAGCTTTATTGTCTTTACTTTATAGTTCATTCTTTATTGTTCTTAGCTGACCTCGAGGTCTCTATTGCTCCAACAACACTGATTTGGTTCATCAATTCTTCTTACTTAAGCTTAATATTACTTGTTTAGTCGCTAGTATTAGAATATATCACATATCTTTAAAACCACAAATTATCTTTAATTGTTATTCATATTTTTCGAGGTAAACAGTTTAGCGCCCACCGTGGGGCTAAAGATAATAGTGATTGTTTAGTGCTAGTTTTCTAATAACACATGATATTCTTCACACTTTTTCTTGTCAAAGATTCTTTGATTTCAGGCTAAGATAGGTCTAGCACACAAAACGCACCAGCTCATGACAATGAGGGACTCGGAGAAAACAGCGGTATAGGGGTCGGTGTACCACCCATAAACCCTGAGGTAGTGCCAAATTTGGAGCCCGTTGATATCAGTTCATATAACGCTTTAAACACGGACGCAGTCACAGACCCCGTGAGGAATGTACACAGGGAAGCCCGAGCCGGAGGCTAGGAAACACGAGGAATGGAAGAAGGAGGAGTTAGCCTCCAAGTGATATTCGAGATGCTGCAGGCTCAGCAAGTCGCCATTGCTCAACTTCAGAGTCAAAATAGAACTCCAAACACCGCCGAACCAGTGGACACCCGGCATACGGAACCTGCGCCTGAAAGGCCCGATGAAAATGGCTTGGGGACTGATCCCGCTATTATGAAAATGGTCGAAGAACTGACCAAAAGAATCGAGTCCGGAGAAAAGAAAATTGAAGAAAATGACAAAAAGGTGGAGACATACAATTCAAGAGTCGACCAGATACCAGGACCACCTCCGACTTTGAAAGGACTGAACTCGAAAAAATTCATACAAAAACCTTTCCCTCCAAGTGCGGCTCCAATGCCCATTCCCAAGAAGTTTCGCATGCCCGATATACTGAAATACAGCGGAACAAACATATTACTTCATACACTTGTGGAATCAAAGGAAATGACTTGAATGATGATGAAATCGAGTCAGTATTGTTGAAAAAGTTTGGGGAAACACTATTAAAAGGTGCTATGATATGGTATCACAACTTAGCTCCTAACTCCATTGACTCATTTGCTATGTTGGCGGATGCCTTCGTGAAAGCACACGCCGGGGCCATAAAGGTAGCCACAAGAAAATCGGATGTCTTCAAAATAAAACAAAGGGACGACGAGATGTTGAGGGAGTTCGTGTCCCGGTTTCAAATGGAAAGAATGGAATTACCTTTAGTCTCCGATGACTGGCAGTTCGGGCCTTTATGCAAGGTTTGAATGAAAGAAGCTCGATTGCATCTCGACAGCTAAATCAGAACTTGATCGAATATCCAGCTGTGACATGGTCGGATGTGCACAATCTTTATAGTCAAAAATTAGGGTCAAGGATGACCAGTTGGGAGCCCCCTCGTGCTTAGTTCATCCTAACAGATTCGTAGCCAAGCCCCTGAAGGACACAGACCGGGGATCAAGATTCAACAAAGAACGGTATCAACCATATGCCGATCGAAGAAACAACGGCCCGAGCCACAACTCCCCTCGGAGTGATAGAAGAAGTGACCAAGGTCAAGGTTCTCAGGGACTCATGAGCAAGAACGGGTTCGATAAACACGCCGACCCCGCCGAGGTCCCTCGATTATCATAATACAATTTCAGCATAGATGCATCAGGGATCGTCTCGGCTATTGGGAGAATCAAAGATACCAAGTGGCG